CTGCAACCAGTGGCTGCTGCTGGAGCAGTCCCTGCACATGGCCAGCCTTTGTCCATTGGAGAGCCTAGCTGGATCCCCGGAGCAGCCTCCCCAACTCCCCCTGCTGCCTCTGATAGATGCAGCAGGCCGGGGTGGGGGTAGGGGTGGAGGGTAAGGAAGAGTCTCCCTTTTAAACTGGCTCCCTCCAGCACTGAATCCTGTCCACTCTCCCTTGCTGCTTCTCATAGAGGCAGCAAGGGGGGAAGAGAGTAGTCGATACTCCAGTCGACTACTTGCGAACATCCCTAATCTGCACACACTCAATTTCACAAATGCTGATTGGGGGAAAAGGCAGTGTCTGGCCAAAAGTATCCTGATCCTCTCTGTAGAGCTCAGAATGACTTTCTGTTTTGAAAGAGAAATACGCAAACCCATAATGGCTGCAGGGTGGCTCAAACATACTGCAAAGGAAAACCTGCAGCTCAGGACAGCCAGGGATAGAGAAACATGACAATCAGCTAGGGTAGAATCTTGTAGGAACTCTGGTCTGATCATGCTCTCACTTTCTCAGCACAGCAAAATAAATAAATAAATCTAGAATCCTAGAGATCGTTCTTTTAGCTACACTAGGCAATAGGAAGCAGCCACTCAAGAAGCTGCACTTCGAGGAAGGAACACACCATGACACTGATCAGGATGGAATTTCCTGATGGAGTTGTGAATGAAGTACATTCACTGAAAATAATTAATGATGCATGTATGTGTTACCCCTACTTCCTCATTCTCATTTCCAAACAACTAATTTCTTCTTAGCCACTTATTCCTTTGGCTTGTCTTGGTACTGCCCACGCCCCACTTCTAAGGTGGTGCACGTATGTTTCATAAGTCCAGGGATGTGCGATGGACAGGTCTGAAAATGAGTGGTGGAGCATGGGGCTCATGTGAGGAGCATTTTTAGAACTGAGAAGGTGCTGTGAACAGGACGTTGGACAGGGATGCAAGAGTTGTAGGTTCTGTTCCCTACTATGTGAACTTCAGCAAGTCATCTCCCCTCTCACGCTTTGCCTGTCTTATCTATTTAAACTGCAAATTTGTCTGGACACAGACCGTCTTATTACGTATCTAGTGCAATGGGATCACACTTTCAGTAAGGGTTTTTAAGAGCCACTGTTATAGGAGGATATTAATTAACACCACCACCTACACGAGCAGAAACTTACTCGCCAGAATACATAGAGTTCAACAACTCTCCAATACAAGCGCTTTGCCGCTGATATAACTTAGGCCACAGGTAATCTTCAAAAGTCTGATGGGGAGTATTCGGGGAGTTTATTATTCGAAGGAGGAAGAGCAGGGGTAAAGGATAGAAGAGCTCATAGGTTATCAAGAAAGAGGTGGAAATAATACAGATACCTTAGCTCAGTAACAACTAGTGAGCATGTGATACTAGTGAGAAACTCAGCATAGCTTTTCTTAGCTCAGGCATCAGGATTTGCACTTGGTGGGCTGCTGCACTACCATTAGAACATCAGGGTCCCAAATGGATTTTTGCATGCAATTTTATGCACAATTCACACCCCCAATGAGCTTGGCCATTAACTGTTAAGTCTTCTCTAACATTGGGCCGCCAGTTGGCAACAGAATAAATGCAGAAGAGATCCTTTGCAAGATGTTTATTTTCACATCCATCCCAAATAGATACTCACAATTGCAAAATAAACCTTCCTGTCTGGCACATTAACTCCCAATTTCATGATTTCATGTCTTAATTGTTTCAAATCTTACTAGTCTTAAAATTTAGTATCAAAATATGTTTGCTGCTGTGTAACTACGTTGTCAGGCTAAATGATCGGCTTTGCCTTTAAACAATAATCCAAGATGTTCATTGCTGAAGGAGCAAAATACTATCTAACTTTGTTTTGATAATTTGTCATAAATATGCTATAGTGAGGATGTTATTAATTTCATTGAGTTTTATTTAGTAAAATTAAAACTGGACACAAATTTTCTGATGATAAATATTTAAGTCACTACTCTCATCCATCTGAGAGAGAGATCATAATTCTGGCACTTATACTACTATGAATTATTTTCCTCCTACAACGTATAGGATTTATACAGTAATTCCCCATTTAACACTAGAGATGTGTTTCAGAAAATGATCGTGTTAAGTGAAAACGTGTTATGAGGGGTCAATTTTCCCATTGAAAATAATGGAAAAGGTGGGGGTTGCGTTTCAAGACCGGGACCGGGACATAAGGTTGGGGGAAAAAGAGGACTGGGTTACAGCAGGGAGGGGAGGTGTCTGGCTCTGAGGAAGGGAAGGAGAGGAGATGGGAAGGGGATTGGGTTGGGAGTATGCCCCTGTGACAGGTCTGCTGGGACCCACACTGCGTCCGGCGAGGGGGTTGGTCGCTGGGGAACGGTGTGGCGAGCGGCGAACCCTCCGCCGCTTTGCAGGGAGGCGGGGGAAGCCCTGAGCAGCCGCCAGTGATAGGCCGGCTGGGGAAACCCAGCAGACGGCCTGCAAACGGGGGTGGAGGAGAGGGGGCAAGGCATCCAGCAAGGGGAAGTCAGTGGGGAATGGCGCCGCAAGTGGCGAACCCTCCGTCACTTTGCAGGGAGGCGGGGGAAACCCCGCGCACCCACCGGCAACAGGCCGGCTGGGGAAATTGTGTTATTCCGGGGACGGTTGTGCAATTCAAAAAACGTTCCCTAAAAAAAAAATCGTGCTATTGCAAAAATGTGTTAAGTAGGCACGTGTTAAATGAGGAATTACTGTACTATTTTCCAAGGTAACCAACAGAATGTAGGACTTTTCATTTTTGAAGTTAGGATTCAGGACATCACCATATGGCTATGTCTAGATGGGCAAATTGAGGCAAGTTACTCCAGGGAGCGTTAGTAGCAGCCAGAATCACAACTTAGGTATTTCTCTGCCTTGATCGCTAGACTACATCTCTCCCTCAGGTAAAACCCCTGTATATTTTGTAAGGCAACAAAAAAAATATTACATTTAGAAAATGGTCTAATGATCATTTGTATAGGACACAAATACTAATCCATGGCAGCATTCTGACATTTTCTTCAATGAGAATCAATGATACATGTAACAAGTATATTCAGTGCCTTGCCCAATATAGATACTGAATAACTTGGTGATTAATAGTATGTGTTGTCTTCACAGCATTATTTTTAACTTTTTGAAAGATAAAAATAATGCAAAAAGGTTTCATAAGAATGCACGAGGTTGCTTATGTGAGTTTAAAACATAAAACAAATTCAAAGTTAAAGCTCATCTTTTCTTTCACTTAACAGTCTACTAGTTAGTATCACAGTTAACCCAATTCCTCAGATCATCAAATGGTCCAAGAGTACTTGAGACAATGTGGCATGACCTTAGTATAAAAGGGATAAGCTAAGAATGGAGAACCTGCCTTTATCCTGAATCACCTGGCTTTTGGGAACAGGCAGGGGAATTAAACAGAAGTCAGATATTATTTTAACAGTTATCTGTATTTAACTATTCTTCCACTAAAACATTACTATGTAAATAGTGACCCTCATCCTTCATCTTTAATGGTATCTATAGGGGCCTACACAGACTCCATTAATGATAACAAAAATAGGCTAGAAACACAATCTGTTCTGTTACAGACATTTTCCCTCTCATGCAATACATTAGAGCAGATCAGAAACTACCTCTGCTCCATCCTTTCCTACAAATTATTTGTTAATCAATCAGGATTTTTAGTATTCACTAGCTAAAAATTTTACAAAAATATTCATCACAAAGTACACTATATTCAAAATGTGTACATCACACAGCAATAAGTGTGTGTATTGTCGTAATCAGTATTACTACCCATCAAAGGCATTACAACAGAATTCCCATGACCCAAAGCCCTGTTCAATACAATTACTTTGGTTTGTGAATACAGATACAGATCTATATCCTATAGATATTAGTAGAGCAGTGCAGATATCTGTATTTCTGTGTTATTCTATTCTAGCAGTAGTACAACTTTGAGCCAGAGCAACACAGGAAATTTCAGTAGACATGAAATCTTTCTTAGTAAGATTTCAACACAAAAACCTATTTTCTTTTGCAAAAAACACTGCATTCCTGTGGTCAAATCCTGTACTCACCAAAACTACTACCAATGCCATTTATGTAGGACAGAAAATATGGGTCTGTTGTTGCTGAGAATTCAAACTTCGGTCTCTGACAGACCTTCTAATGAGGAGTTCTTATTTGAAAAAGTGATTCCCCTGGATTTCAGAGAAGTCAGTAGGTGCTTCACTTGACTGAGGGCTGAATAAAGACTTATGGATGTTGCCATAGGGCTGCAATCTTTCAAAAGAACCTTATGCCTTCTTGGAGATGCTGAAGGGACTCCATTTGGACATAAAGGTTCAGTGGTACAAATCACTGGAAAGTTGGAAAAGATCAAAATGTTGATGCACAGGAGAGAATTTCATGAAACGTTTCAGGAAATTTCCCACATTTTTCAGCTTCTTGAACCCATCTCTGCGTTAAGAACCTCTGATCAGGTCCTTAATGAGGCAATGCTGCTTGCTGAGTGGAATGACAGGAAATGTGGGTC